ATTGTTCTTTTTTTTTTTTTCTTTGACATTTGAATTTTCGTTTGAGCACACACACACACACACACACACACACACACACACACACACACACACACACACACACACACGCAGAGTTGCAAACACACACTGTTGGGATTCGGTAACTCACCTGGTTGAGCGTTGTGCGTGCAATCAGAGAGGATGCATGTCCATTTTTCAAACACAGGCGGAAAACAAGAAACATCACAAGATTCAAGACAAAAAAAAACTGCCAGGCTCAGTATCCCAAAAGCGGAGTTTGCAAAGTTTGTTGTTTCAGGAGCACAAAAGCGCGCAAGGACACACTACCGTCACTATACTAATTCGCAAATGTCTACTCATCCTCCTCCCCGGACTGTTCTTCCCCGTCTGACTCCGCCTGCGACTTGTCCTCATCCGACTCATCGCCGTCCGCCTCTCCACTATCGTCCGATTGCTGGGACGTTTCCTCCTCCTCCCGCAGTGAACTGTCTTCGGACGACGATGACGAGGATGAAGAAGACTGCTTTTTCCGGCTGGCACCCGGATTTTCTTCGTCATCCTCGATCACCTCGGCCGTTCTCTTCCTCGAAGGCCTTCCCACCTCGGCTGCTGCAGCCCTTGCGGCCTCTGCACGTGCTGCTGTATTTGCAGCCTTCTTCGCGGGCGAAAGTGGAGGCCGCCCTCTCTTCTTTTTTGGTGCTGCATCCTCCTCCGCGACCTTCCTCTTTCGTTTCTGAACCGGCTGTTCCTCGGCAACGTCCGACGCCGTTGCCTTCTTCTTGCGCCGCCCGCGCCCCGACACTTCCTCCCTCCCATGCACCCATTCGCCGGTTTGGCGTGCCTTCAATGCACGGTCACGACCCTCCAACGTGTACACGAACCCGGGTTCGGGCTCTTGAACACCTAACTTCCTGCGCAGCTCCCGCGTCCGGTGCTTCCCGGGCTTCGTGTTCGCGTGCCATGTTCTCTCCAGCGAACCAAGTGCGGCGATATCGTCTTCGTCATCCGCGAAGTTCTCCTCCTCATTGTTCTGCAGCCATGTGCGCTCTAGCGGGGCATCATCGAAATCGTCCGCACGGACCTCCATCGCAGCAACATCGTCGGTTGTCCCTTCCCTAACCTGTGCAGCCCATTCGTCGTACCACTCATCCACCTCCATGCTTGCCAGCTCATCGTCCTTCCACGGGATGTGCACGTTTTCCCCGTCCCCTCGCTCTCTTCGCGTCGACAATTGGATATTCCAATTGTTGTACACCAGCTTGTTCAATCTCTCCGGCAACATCTTCGTGCGGCGTTGGCCGAAAATGAGTTGGTGCAAGCTCCAATTTCGCTCGCATGCAGCCGACGAGCTCGCCTGCCCAAGGAGTTTGATCGCCTGCGGTTGGAGGAGGTCCAAGGACCCTCCGAACGCCTCCCACCATAGCGCCGGGACTTCGAACTCGCTTGGTCCCTTGCGTTGTGCGACCCCAAAGTGCCAATCCCTGCACCCACATGTGTCCACCTGTCTGCTGATTTCTCCCCGCAGCAACTCCGGTGGCGCACACGAGTAAAGCCAAATGTTGAACCCCTCGCGAATCTCCGTGTCTCGCATGGTGTGCGTCCTGTACTGGGGGTCGAGGAAGGCGGTCGCGCAATGCAGTTCTGATGTCATGAACGCCCACCGGTCCATCAAAATCTTCTCCACATCGGCCTTCTCGGCCTCCGACAGGCAATCCAACGTACGCATTCTTGCCACAACCGCGTCCATGCCGAAATACACTTTGCTCATTGTTGCTCCTGGACCGTCCACCAAACGAAGGAGCTTGACAACTGGCTCCATCACCACAATGGCCTTATCCACAACCTTCCAGAAGCCGTTCGTATCCATGATGATGTGGGTGACGGCGTTGAATGCCGCCACCTGCTCCCCCCTCACCAACTTCTCCACCCACGCGGCATTGCAGACACACAGCTCCAACAGATTCCTCCCCGCCTTCAGCGACTGAAGCATCTCAAAGTTCGTTGCGAATCTTGTGACCGCCGGTCGTTTCAGTTGTGCATTCGCGATCCGGTTGTACATTGCGCGGACCTTGTCGACGTTCGTGAAAAACTTGCTAACTTGATTGCCCTTGTCGACGACCACCTTCAACCAGTCCATGCACTTGTACATGTCCTCCAGGGCCAGATCCAAGGCATGGGCTGTGCAACCCACACTGAAAATACCGGGGTACTTGGCCTCCACCATCTTCCCCGCTTTGGCGCAAACCCTCGCATTGTCCATCACAACGCCGACAATGGACCCCGCGCCGATCTCCTGGATCACCCCGTCCAACAACTTGAAGTACATTTTCGAGTCCTTCTCCCTCCCCTCCATGCACACCGACTTCCAAAACACAGTTCCGACCGGGGAAGACACCATGACGTTCAGGTGCGGTTTGTTCCGCCGGTCCGACCACCCGTCCATTTGGAGCATGCACCCTGTTCTCTCCCACCTCTTGACCAGTGACCGCGTGTCTTCCCCCACCAATTTGTACTGCCCGTCCAACCTTTTTGTCCTCGAATCGTCCCTCTTGCAAGGCCACCAGCTGGGATGGCACTTCTTCACGGCATCGAGGAAGTCAAGGAAGTAGTAGTTTTCCACCATACTGAATGGCTGATTTGTGCAAATCAGCCACCGATCCATTTTCCGACTCGTCTGCTCGTTCCGGGTGACGATGTTGTCCGCCTCCTCAAGCAAAGTCTGCCTCACCGACCGTCCACCACTTCCAGGGGCAGGAGGGAAGCATGTCTCCGATCCTGCAGGCGAGGACGTCTCACCATCACTCGGCCTATGTGCTGATGATGCTGGAGGCACGAAACTGCTAGAAGACGGTCCTGTGCTCGGACCACCACTTCCACCAGTTGCGCCTTCGATCAGACTGGCCTGGTGTTTCCCCAGCCGGATCACAAGCTCGATACTGGACTTCGTCAAGAAGTGTCTCTTGAGGACTGACTTCGCGCCAACGAACCGAGTCTCGCAGTAGTTGCACAGCCAGTACCTCGACCCCTGGCCAGGGTCCTTGTCGTGAGGACCTTCATCGGTGAAGTGCCTCGTGAGAAACTGCAAGATTTGCTTCACCAGCGCCATCGACAACTTCGCCTGCGCACACAGAACCCACAGACAGGTGGACATCAGCCCCTCTTCAACGCTCGCAAACCCTCCTCCAAACCCCTCAAACACTCCTTCCCTCCCCTCGAACCCTTATGGAGCATATGTTTAAAAAAAAAAAAAAAAGGAGAGAGAGAGAGAGAGAGAGATCCTGGTGGGAGATGGGAGAGAGAGAGAGAGAGAAAGAGAGAGATGACACGCTTCGATCGAGATATGGACCATATCTTTAAAAAAAAAAGAAAAAA